GCTTTTGAGCGCCTGCTGCTGAGGTTTATATAACAAGGCTGTGGCGCATGCAAAGCTCTTGAGCTCCTGCCCACAAAGGCAGTGGCAGTTGACAGCTGTGATGACCCATCTGCAGCAGAGACCACAAGGCCATGGGGCACGGTGGAAAGCTACAAGGGAGCAACTTCCCCCAGAGAAGGCTGGAGGTGGACTGAGGCCTGGTGAGTCCTCCCATCCAGTCCATCCACGTAACCAACTCTACCATTAGGTAGCATGAGCAGCTGATTTTTGAGTGTCATAGAAGGGCAGCAAACTGCCTCATGCCAGTCCTGGCTCCATGCTTCAGCCTGCCTGAAGAATGTGAATCTTTAAAGAGCCAGGCCCCTGGCTTAAAGGCAAGCCGCTTCTCTTTCTGTAGTCTTCTAGCTCCCTGCAATGGTGGTGCAGGTATGATGGTGCAGGCAGGTGAGCTGAGCTCAGGGGGAAGCTGCCTGCAAGTGTTCAGGCTTGGGTTTTGCAGGCTCCTGACCCAACCACCATTCCCAATCCCAGCATCAGGAACCTGGTCTAGCCCCTCAGCTGGAGGTACAGCAGAGCCAGACTCAGGTTGACTACAGGTGACTTTTTAACATTCATCCTGATTCATCTGCACAAAGTTAGCATGGAACTTATATGGAACTCACTCTTTATGGAGCATCCATTCCAATTTGTTATTCAACACTGCGTCAAGCAACAGTCACTCCACACTTTCCAGGATTTTCCTTACTACAAAAAGTTCATTTGTGTGTGCGGAAATGGGTCTGCCGTACAACAGTGCCAAATCCACTTTAATTATGCAATCTGGATTTGCCAGCTTGTGACGGAATCCCGCCCACAGAATAGCAAGTCTGGAAGCGGCTTGAGCTCCATGCCTGGACCATGGCAACAGTCTCCTTCAATTGCAGGGGGTGCTTTGAAGTTGGAGAACAATCCAGGTTCCATCTGAAAACAATGGACACCTACCTCCTTGTTTTTACAAACGATTTGGCTACTCCAGAAGCTATAGGAGTAGATGAAAGTGTCCCAGTAAGCCCCCTTAGCTATCCTGTGCCCAAAGCATTTTGCTTTCAGCACCATTGACAAGTGGACAGGTCCCTGCCTCGAGACTCCACCTGCTAAGGTGCCTAAGTCCACCAGCCTTAAAGGTGTATTTCTGCCCCATATGTTTTTCTCTGAGATATATTCTAGAATACTTCTGAATCAGCAGTTGCAGGCTAAACCTAGTCCTAGATTTTGCTTCAGATTAGAACTTCTGTTTTGGGTTTCGTCCCAAGGAAGCCAGTAACTTTATCAAAAGGCTACTGACTTCCTTTGGACTGTTCTTGGAACATGTGTATATCAAAGACACAAAGATCAGCTCATAAAGCCTGAAAAACAAGCGGGCAAGGGAGAAAGAAACAGCAGCAACAACAAAAACCCATCAGATAATAAAATGAAACAGAAAGTGAGAAGAGTGCAAGGGAAATATCTTTCCTCTAGGTGGGAAACTATCACAAAAATAATGAACAGCACCTCAAGAAGAACTGTAAAAGGGGAGAGCATATGAGGTCCTTTTTTGCTTGGGGGGGAAATACTATTGAAACTTTTAATCAATGATTTGTATGGACATGGAAGTGTTGACATTTTGCAGCTCATTACTCAATTACAGCTGATGTGGTGCCAAACACATGTGGCTGGACTCCGGCTCCCATCAGCCCAGCCAAAATGGACAATGGTCAGTTGCAGTCCGGTAGGGAGGGCACTACAAACTCCTGCACCATGAGGTCAAGTGGGCAACTTCATATTGGATAGATTTGCATGCCTAATTTTGGATCAGAGAAGCTCACTATGTAGCCAACAGTGTAGTAGTGTAAAGTGATGCAAATGTGGTCAGTTATAAACAGCACAACACATTATTCAGTGCTGATGATTCTCTACATATATCTGCTGGATACTTTGATCAACACAGATTAAAATCTTGCTCCTGCTGCTTAGCTTAATGGGAATAAGGCCATAGGGCATTGGCTCAGCACATGCTTTCGATGCAAAGGGTCCCAAGTCATGTATTCAGTGGAAAGGATCTCAGAAAGCAGGGATGGGAATCTGTGGCCCTCTAGATGTTACTGCACTCCCACCATTATTGACCACTAGTTATGCTGGTTAGGACTGGGGAACTTGTGGCTTTCTGGATGTTGCTGGACTCCAATTCCCTTCAGATCCAGTCAGTCCTACTTCCAGAGGGTGATACTTAGGCTCTGTGGAGCCTTCCATGTGAGGTTCCTCAAGGTTCAATCTTATCCCCTATGCTGGTTAACATCTACATGAAACTGCTGAGTGGGATTATCTGGAGTTTTGGAGTATACTATCAGCAATATGCATATGACACACAGCTCTGCTTCACCTTTACATCTGCAGGTGAGGCAGTGGATGTGCCAGACCATAGTCTTGCCTCAGTAATGGACTGGATGAGAGCCAACACACTGAAGCTCAATCCAGATAAGACTGAAGCACTGTTACGGGGTGGTTCCCTAGACCGGATGGATGGGAGGTTGCCTGCTCTTGATGGGGTTATTTCTCTGAAAGAGCGGACCCACAGCTTGGGGCTTCTTCTGGACCCACTGCTGTCGCTTGAGGCTCAGGTGCCCTTGGTGGCACAGAGTGCCTTCCATCAGTTTCTGCTGGTGGCCCAGCTGCACCTCTGTCTGAACAGGGATAGCCAAACGTCTGTCTTCTGTGCTCTGGTAACCTCTAGGTTAGATTACTGCGACATGTTATACGTGGGGCTACTTCTGAAGATGATTTGGAAACTTCAGCTTGTGCAGAATTCAGTGGCCAGGTCACCAGGCAAGATGGTGTGATCATATAACGCCAATCCTGGCTTGACAGCATTGGCTGACAATTAGTTTCTGAGCCAAATTCAAAGTGCTGGTTTTGACCTATAAAGCTTTAAATGGCTCAGGACTGCAATACCTCAAAGACTGCTTCTCTCCATATGAACCAACCCAGACACTACAGTCAATAGCCGAGAACCTTCTTCGTGTGCCTTCCCTGTGAGAGGTCTGGCGGTCTTTTCTGCTGTGGCCCCCCACTTGCGCAACGCTCTCCCCAAGGAGGTTCGCCTGGCACCTTCGTTGCATATCTTTTGGCACCAGGCAAAAATATTCCTCTTCTCCCAGGCCTTTGTCTAATTAAACAATTTATGGCTTTTAAAACTGTGGCTAAGGGTATTGGTTTTGTTTGCTACTGTGGTATGTAGTTTGTGTTTTTATATTGTAAACTGCCCTGTTATCTTTGGATGAAGGGTGGTTTATTTAATAAATAAATTTAACGAATAATCAAAAATAATTATATGCAGTCAATAAATAAAAAGGCAAAGACTTTGAACTCTGGACAAATGAATGGCATACAGGAAGACCCATTAGCCTAATCATCTTTCCATCTCTCCATCCATAAACTGCAGATTTTCTTACCCCTTTAATTCAATATAAGTTGTGTGGAAGCTTTATCATAGATTATGCTCCCCCTAGTAACATGTCTTCATTTTCTGCTTTCATATAACCCTGCAGTGAGATGGCTTTTTAACCTAGCAGACCAAAGCCTAACAAATTCCAGCGTCTGGAAGCTTGCAGTTAGATGAATTCAAGCTGGAAGTGAGATGCGGCTTCTTAATAGGGCGGGTAACATTGGAACAGATTAGCAAAGGATGTGGTAAATTATCCAACACTTGGAGACATTAAGTGACGATTGGCCGAGTTCCCAAAAGATACGTTGTCACTCAGCTGCAAATAATTCGGTTTAGTGTGAGGATTGCCAGGCAAGACGCCATGACCTGTGCGGAGAGGAGGTCAAGTTAGAAGTGAAGGTGATCTGCATCCATCTCAACAACTGAGCACCGATGCAAAGGGTAGCTCAGATTCAGGCACTTCCATTCTTGGCCTTTCAGCAGAATGTAGCAAACCCATTAAACTCAGTTGAATTGATAAAAATATATACTTTATTCTTTTCTAGAGTGCCAGAAACAGGATTCAGGACACATAAATCTAGGAGCAGGAACCTTGGTCCAGGCCTACAAGAATATGAAAGAGGCAACAATAAATATTTTATTTACACACATATGTAAAATTCTCGGCAATCCCAACCACTTCTTCAGTGCATATTACTTACAGGTTTATCCGGTGAGTGGGTGAGAGCAGAGTGGAACGAAGAGGAGAAAAAACACAACTTTTTTTTTTTAAAAAAGCCAGTACTTTCTCCAAACACATTTTCTTGGCAAAGTGATCAAAGGCCAGAAGGCACATGAGTGTGTGTGTGTGTGTGTGTGTGTGTGCATGCATGTGTGTGTGTGTGTGTGTGCGTGCATGAGCACGCGCGCGCACACACTCTGCATTTGGGAATAGTTGTAAACACATGTAACAACATGTAATTTGGGGAAACTGCCTGCCTGCCTTTGAACTTGACAAGCACTTGGCAAGTCAACACCAGGGGCCTTTGACAGATCAAGCCACTGTATCGCCACTTTGTTGTGCACAGATGTGACACTCGGAGATGGAACCAAGGGATTGGCATGCTAAGCCTGTGATGTTTTCTTTTGCATGTCCCGTCTAAAGAAATGAAAACTGCCTAGAGTAGGGCTCTTGCTCAGTTCCCATTCATTTTGATGGGGCTTATATAGGCACACCAAATCTATATGTCCCCATAGGTTATAAAACTGTGGCTCCACAGATTGCTTAGAACAGACTTCCCCCGGTGGTGGAGCTTATGCCCGAGCTGCCCAAGGGGGGAGGGCATGGAGGGTGCCCCCCCCCAGAGGGCTGCTCTCTGCCACTGGGTCAGAAGAGCTGCTGCCGCCGGGCGTGAGGTGTGCTGCCCACGTGCCTGCCATTGTGTCACCCCCCTCAGTCATGACACTAGGGCGGCCCACACCTACTGCACCCCCCTTCCTACACTTCTGACTTCCCCAACCTGGTGCTCTCCAGATGATGGGGGACTACAATTCCCAGCATGCCTTCCCACTGACCATGCTGGGAGAAGCTGTAGTCCAAAACATCTGGAAAGCACCCAGCTGGGGAAGGCTGGCCTGGGATTGGTGCTCCAGCGATGCTTCAGGGAACTGGCACATTGGGTTGCATCCCTCATGGGACGGGGGATACGAAAATGCAAAGTATTAAATAAAAGACATTCACTCCAACACCTAGTAATCTTATACAGTGTCTCATCAATGAGAAAGAAAGTCCACTGAGGCAATGCTTAATCTGTGAAATGAAAGATGCCAGGTTGCGTGTTGGTCAAACATGCCTGGAAGATGCTCCCTGTAGTCTGGACACTCCTAAACCTTTCTTCACAAACTCAGAGGTATTTTTTTCCTATTCTGACCACTCTGCAAGAATAGGAACAACAGCAATGACAGCAACAGCAACAACAACAGCTAATACACTGGGAGATACAAGGCCAACTGTTGAAGTCTTCCAGGATTCTGCCCTGATGAAGAGATCTGGTTCAAATTAAAGATGAGAATCTTGACATGCAGGCAGGACCTGAGGGGCTGCCTAACAAGCAGAGAGACGCAATCTGAACTCGTGGGACTTGGGTCTGGCAAGCATATATACACACAAATGTCCCCTTTCCTCCCAGGCTTCTTTCAGCCATCCAGCTTGTGCTGAGTCTCTCTCTCCATGTAGTCTGTGGACAGCAGAACCTTGTTTGGGGCAGGGGTGGCTGGCTGGGGGTAACTCAGCTGCCTGCTTGCTAGACCAACAAAGGGTGCGGAGACAGATGGGGAGGTGAGGTGGCAGCGGTGGCAGGCAGGGCTGTTGTTCTTGGTGGGGTGTGCATTTTTTGGATCCCCTCTATTAAGAAGTGTTTTGTTTCCTGGATGCAGAATGTTCTTCGCTCTCCTTTCTTTGCTCACAAGCACTCATGCAACACTTGCATGTTGGTGCAGTTCAAGCAGCTGACATGGCAGCACCAGTGGAATGTGCAGTTGCAGCGCTCCGTCACCCGCTGCGTCCGGGTCCGGTACCCCCTCCCACAGCACAGCAGCTCGCAGCCATCCAGGGCAGGGGAGGAGCTGTTGCAGGAGCGGCCTGCTGTCCCTGCTGTCCCTGTCTTGCCGCTGTAGGTGCAGAAGTTGGGCGACTTCTCAAAATAGACCAGGTCGTGGGGGGAAGGGGGCTTGTGGGCAGGGTTCTCGGGCTCCAGGTGGTGCAGCTCCACCCGGGAGGCCCGGTTGCTGCCTTTGTTGCCGTAGATGACCCGTGACGCACCATCAAAGCGGTCCTTGAGAAAGTCCCCCACGGTCCGGAAAGTGGGGAGCCGCATCCAGCAGGTCTTGACCGTGCAGGAGCCAGACATCCCATGGCACTTGCACTCCTGGCGCATCTCCGTGAAGACCGTCTGAATGGTAACAAAGGAAGGGAATGCCTGTTAGAAGACACCAGAGCAGCAGGGTTCTGAGCCAGCCGCAGTATGGACCACACCATAGAACAGGCATAGGCAAACTCTGGCCCTCCAAATGTTTTGAGACTACAATTCCCATCATCCCTGACCACTGGTCCTGTTAGCTAGGAATGATGGGAATTGTAGTTCCAAAGCATCTGGAAGGCCGGAGTTTGCCTATGCCTGCCATAGAATCATAGAATTGTGTGGTTGGAAGGAACCCCAAGGGCCATCGAGTCCAATGCCATGCAATGCAGGAATCTCAACTAAAACATCCCTGACAGATGGGCCCCCCAACCTCTGCTTAACAACCTCCAGTGGAGGAGAGTCCACCTCCTTCCAAGGGAGTCCATTCCACTGTTGAACAGCTCTTACTTGCCAGAGTTCTTTTCTGTTTAGTCAGAATCTCCTTTCTTGTAACTTGAAGCCACTGGCTCAAGTCCTAGCCTGCAGAACAGGAGAAAACAAGCTTGTTCCCTCTTCCATGTGACAGCCCTTGAGATATTTGAAGATGGCTCTCATATCTCCTCTCCATCTCCTCTTTTGCAGGCTAAACATACCCAGCTCCCTCAACCGTTCCTCATAAGGCTTGGTTTGCAAGACCCTGGTCATCTTGGTTGCCCTCCTCTGCACACGTCCCGGCTTGTCCAGATCTAAATTCATGCCTAAACGCTTGGCTCCTAGGGCTGCATACTTTTCATAGCATAGTGGAACAGCTAAGTCATAGTGAAACAGTAGTCAGAAAGTTTATGGTTCAAATATTGCCCTGGCCACAAACTCACTTCGTGACATTAGGCAAGCCAATATCTCTTACCCTCAGTCTTCCCCCTGCCTCATCTGCAATAGGGGGATAACAGTTTTGAGTAGCAATGGCCACCACCTTAAGTGACTTTAAAAGAGGATTAGACAAATTCATGGAGGATAAACTATCAACAGCTTCTAGCTACGAGGGCTATATCCAACATCTGCCACCAGAGTATGCCTCTGTATGCCTCTGAAAGCCAACTGCTGGGAATCACAAGGGTCGGGGAGCACTGATGTTCTCAGGACCTGCTTCTGAGCTTCCCATAAGGATCTGGTGAGATGCTGGACTAACTGCGCCTTTGGCCTCATCAAGTCTTATAACCTACCTTACAGGCAATTGTGGGGATTATGTGGACCATGTACTGTACATAAAGTGCTCTGAAGTGCCTTATTATTATTATTATTATTAATCAAGATCACCATTGTTGTTATTAATTCCAACAGAGGAGCTTGCCCAAGTTTCCTCAGTGCCCGCGAGGTGAGGGCTGCTTGGGTATGTGCTTCTCACTCGCTCTGCTCTGCTGGGAACCCCTCCTCCCACCAGACCCCTCTCTCCCACCCCTGTGCTTGCAGGAGGGAGCTGTTCCCTTGGCGCACAGTGGGCCCCCCTCCCACCCACGGAATGTGGATGCGTCTTTCCAAGCCCAGAGCTTTCCCTTCCAAACGGGGTTTACTGCAATTAGAAGAATTGGAACCATTTCCTTCCAGATGTGTAGGAGCCCACATGGCAGCCGGGCTTGTGGTTCTGGGCTTGGCTAGCATGCAGGAGGTTTGCCTGCTTAAGGGCTGCCTTCTCCCCCTGCTCCCCCCTCTTTTTTTTGGCCATCACACCACCACAGCCCACCCCTCCCATGCTGCCTACTGCCACCCTCATCGCCCATCCTATAACCTACTTTTGAGAAGTCAGCAGGGACACACACGTCCCAATGCACATGTTCGCACACATACATGGATACAGAGAGCACAGAGATACACAAATAGCTCCTGCACAATTCTGTTCATGAGGTCAGGGAGCAGATTTTATGATACCATAAGTGGCAGACAGGCAGATTTGATGCACTGGGCACATAATCCACCAGGAAGTTCTCCTGTGCAAGCCCTACTGTGCAGAGTAGCTGCTGCAGAAGAGCAATTTGGTGGCTATGTACACACCTTACATTAGGAGCACATTGCTTCTCTAAATAATACTGGGAACAGTCGTTTATGGCTTACAAAACTGCAGGTCTCAGCACCCTTAACAAGCTACAGTTCCCAAGGGAAGCAATGTGCTTTAAATGTATGGTGTGCACATACAGCCTAAGACCTTGCACAGCTTGTGTTCATCCCAATTAGGGTCATGCAGGGGGAATTGTGCCCTGTGATAAATTGTGGAAGGCAAAGTGAGGTCCATTTCGGTCTCCTGCCAAGCAGAACTTAAAAGTTAACAGAGCAGCTTTTTCTCTGATTTCTGGGACTTTTTAGGATGATCAATTTCTTAGAGATGGTGGTGTAAATATTTTAGGTCCTCAAACTGGGGATTGGGTAGAACTTGACAATGAGCACCCAGACGGCCGAGAAAAAAATTATTATGGGAATAAAAACTGCAAACAAAACAGAGGCCCTTTGGAGAAGGAGCAATGCCTAGATGTGTACAGGCTGTTAACTGAAGCCTCAAAGCCAAGACGGGAGAGCTGGAATGCCATATATAGTGGCCATATCAGAAACCTGGTGGAACAGTGAAAGCCAGTAGAATATGGTTATATTTGGATATAAAATCTCTAGAAAGGGCAGGGAAGGCTGTGTTGGAGAGCCAGAATAGTGGACCAGGACTTGCACTCTCCAAGGCCCACTGCCCAGCTCAGCCAGCGGACTGAGGGGCTTGGCCCTTCGGAGAAGGGAGTGGGCAGGAAACAGAGGAGCATGGAAAGCTGCCCTACACTGAGTCACACTCATTGGTCCATCTTTTCTACACTGACTCCTGGGATCCCTCCCAACCCTACCTGGAGATGCTGGGAATTGCATGAACAGCAGATGCTCTGCCCATGAGCTATGAGCCTGCCAATTATCTTAGAGGTGAAAGGTGGAGGAGGGTTCATTTTCTTTAATAAATAAACAAAATTAAGAAGGGGCTCGTGTCCCTTGCAGCACTCCATCCCCCTAGACTTCCTAGAAGGGCTTCAGAGTGTTGCAACGCAATAGGATGCCAGGTTGCTCTGGAGCCACTCCAAGTCCTGAGTGGCAAGAGGGAGGCAGCCGACCCACACTTCCTGGAGTGGCTCCAAAGTGGTGAGACATCATATAGGTGGAGGGATCTGGCAAAGAGGGGACTGTGCTACTGGGAGTAGCAGGAGCCCCATTATACTGGGAGTAGCAGGAGCCCCATCTCTTAAGAGTTTAAAAACCTCCTGCATCTAAAGCAAGAGTGGAGAGGCCAGAGCTGGCGGTGGCAGAAGGCACCTGGTCTCCCCCACCCCTCACAAACCTAGCAGGGCCTCTGGCAGCAGGGGGCGTTCCTCTATGTCCAAAAGGGTGCAGGGCAGAGCGGGGAAACTTGTGGCCTTGCAGATGTTGTTGGACTCCAAGTCCCATCAGCTCCAGACAGACTGGCCCAATGGCCAGGGATTATGGGAGCCGGGGCTCCATCAATAGAGAGCCACAGAGTGTGAAGGCTATTAAACCAGGCAGCTAAAGAGAAAGAAACTGCTTCATAGAATTGCTGGGGGTGGAAATAATGATTGCACAGCCAAAGATCTTTCCTTCATTTTTCTGGGACCGTTTGTCACACATCAAGCGGGGTGGGATTCTCTGCTTCCAGGGATGTAGGGGGAATGAATTTCTATGAAATGTTTGAGGTGGGAGTTAACCTTAGTTAACTATGAGGAGGCTAAACCCCAACCCCCTTTTTCTGTTGTTGTTTTTTTTTAAAAGAAAAAGGAAGGAAGAATACTTGAGACCAATAATGATAGCAGGCAGCCTCTCCTGGTGATATTTCAGAATGCCCATGGGACTGACACGAGATGGTGACATAGCGTCACTCCCAGGGGCGTGGGAAACATGGCTGGCAGGCTGCCAAAGGCTGTGCTGCTGCTCAGAGTGGCTGGGAGGCCTTTTCTCCTTCCAATTGCAGAAAAAGAGAACTGCAGCTGCCAGTATCATATTGCCTTTATTAAAGTCCATGGGGAGGATGGATTAGGAATACTAGATATGGTTCTGGGTGGGATCTGGTCCCTTGGCAGGGACACGGGAAAGGGCTTTCTTAGTGGCTGCTCCTAGACTCTGGAACTCCCTCTTTGGAGAATCCAGACTGGCTCCCTCCTCATTGTCCTTTGGCCGGCAGGTAAAGACCTTCTCCTTTCAACAGGCTTTTGGGAACTGACTGCTTTTCATGAAAGGGCAGGTGCCCTGCTGTGTTTTCAGTGCAATTATTTGTATGTTTTAAACAGATCTTATGTATGTACAGTGGACGCTCAGGTTGCGAACGTGATCCGTGCGGGATGCACGTTCGCAACCCGCAGCGTTTGCAACCTGCAGTGGCGCATCTGTGCACGCGCGGGTTGCGACTTGGCGCTTCTGCACATGCACAAAGCGCAATTTAGCACTTATGCGCATGCGTGACCCCACGAAACCCGGAAGTAACCTGTTCTGGTACTTCTGGGTTTTGGCAAGTCCATAACTCGAAAAAACGCAACCTGAAGCATCTGTAACCCGAGGTATGACTGTATATAGTTTTAATTCTATTATTGTTTTTTCTATATTTTTAGCAATTTAGCTGCCTTGAGTTCCATTGAGGAAAACAGGAAGAAGAAGAATGCAAGGAGGACCCTGCTGGGTGAGGCCAAAGGCACATCTAGTTCAGCGTCCAGCCAACCAGATTCTGCCTCTGGGAAGCCCACAAGCAAGTCATGAGTGCAACAGTGCTCTGCCAACTTGTGATTCCCCATTCAGAGCACATACCCCACCCCGAAGAATCCTGGGAATTGTAGTCTTAAGTGTCCTGGGAAGTGCAGCTATGTGGTGGATAAACTACAGTTCCTAGAATTCTTTGGGGCAAAAATCTGCTTTAAATGTATGATGTGTACGCAGCCAGAGTTAACTGTTTTGGTGGAGTTTAGTATAGTGAGCCAATCTTGTGAGTACTTGGACACTATTCAAATCATTACACATCCGCTCTTGATTGAAAGCCATTTTTCCACGTTTTTTTGGTGGGGTCAGGACAGAGTGAATTACGGTCTAGAGTCTAGACACATGTTGAAACACTCACAAGAACAGCTTGATAGTTCAGATAACAGCAAAAGTCAGCTGTTGCTGACTTCACCATGTGAAAAATGGTTGTGTGAATGGCATCCCCTAGTCTATACACAATAGGTTGTCATTCTCTCTAACTGCGGTCTTACTCGTATTTTTGTTTCCTTTTCAACATGTTAAAAAAAATCCTGCCAATGCCACTGTGATCCATTATCCCCATCGTGGAAAGAAAATGGCTTACAACAGCCCAGCCCAGTGTTAATATTGCGGCTGAGCTGTGGGTTTCTGCACGTGCTGTAGTGCAGATGAGGCTCATCCGCCTGGGAAGGTAGCCCATCTAGAAGAAGGACAACTCTGATCCTAAACCTCTGCTGCCTTGCAGGATATCTTTGGAGAAGAAAAGGCTAAGGAGTGGAGTCCCTAAGACGGTTAGATGGCACCTTGTACACCTCCTTCTGGCAACTCAGGACTTCCATACACACCACCCAGGCTTGCACCCTGGGGAAGTTGGTTTGGTGCTGCAAACACAGCAATCTACACACACACACACACACACACACACACACACACAGCTTTGTCTACACTTCCTCGCCCACATGCTCTCTCACTTCCTACCAGACGTCCTGCTTCATTGTTGTGCAAATTCATCAGGAAACGCAGGTCCCGCCCCTTCTCATTGGAGTCCACGAATTCTCGGCCAAAGACCCTGCCGAAGTCCACATTGTCGCTACAGCCCCCCCAGTGCCAGTCAGGACCCCCTGGGCCACGCCGGCGGTAGTCGCAGGTGCATGATTCAATGGAGCCCTCGGAGCAGGAGCGGGCCACAGAGTGGGTGACACCAGCGCTGGTGATGGCGAAGATGAAAGCTGTTTCGCGGCAACCTGGAGGTGGGAGATGGGAGGGGGAGATATGGCATGTCAGCACGAAGCATCAGAGTCCACAGTTCATTTCTCCCCATTCAGAATAAGGGCCACCCCAGAACACGCCTGGAGATCAGCATCACTGCTGGCACAAATAACAGCTGCTGCCTCATTCATCCAGTATCCCCTGGGATAGCTCAGTTGGTAGAGCGTGAAGCTGTTCATCTCAGGGTTATGGGTTCAAGACCCAGGTTGGGCAAAAGATTCCTGCATTGCAGGGGGTTGGACTAGATGACCCTCGTGGTCCCTTCCAACTCTACAATTCTTTGAGTCTAAGTATTCTCTCTCCCTCTTCACATTTAGGAAGATGGAGGCACCTTGCAAAGGGAACTTTTATTGAAGCAGCCAGAAGAATACCCATAAAAATCAGAAAACCAAAAGGAAACGGTTCGTAGAATCATAGAATCGCAACATCCTGCCTCCATCCCTGTCCCCCAAACTGGAAGGATCCCAAGACCCTGTTTTTGCCCTGCCCTGTTCACAAGACAATCACCAGCAGGGACCAAACAGCCATGAGAGTCTCCTTGCCATCACCATACTTGGGAGGTAGTTACATCCAACTGCCAAACTCCATCCACAGTTCACCTTGTATAATCCAACCAAAACTGTTATAATAAACTGCACAACTACGTTGAGACAGGTTATTCATGCAAGCAAACTAAGACAGATGTTGCAAGGAACATGGGGAAAGCTTGGCGTTACAATCCAGTGTGCCTACAGTAGGGGTGTGGGGTGTGTGGCATTCCAGATGTTGTTGGACTCCAGCACCTGTCAGTCCAGCCAGCATGGCCCGTGGTCAGGGATGATGGGAGTTGTAGTTTAGCAACATCTGGAGTGCATCAGGTTCCCCAATCCTTGCTGTACAATCTCGATTTTGTGCTGACAAGATGTGTGTGATGGTACTATCTCGGAAAAGTCTCCCCTCTTTCTTATACAAAAGGAGGGCAGTCACTTTTAAAAACCTGCTTCCTGATTAATTGGGAGCATCTTTTCGAATCAAAGAATTGAAAAGATCGATTGGCTAAATGCTGCAACCCATTAAAAAATTCTTTAGCTGGGAAAGGAGAGCAAGAAGAGGCATGCTAAAGAGTCTGAGAGTTTGTGGGAAAGGAATGTCTGCCCTCCTCATATGGAGAGGAAAATAATAACAATTACTGACTATTAAAAACCAAAATAATACATGATGCCTGGTGTACAAATCCCAGCTGTGTGCTATGTTTATGCGCTGATAATAGAATGAATTTTTTGCACACAGGAGCTGTGCACTTAAACTGCCTCCTCTGGGCAACACAAGCCCTTTTCCAAGGGTCTCTCTCTCTCTCTCTCTCTCTCTCTCTCTCTCAGCAGCATAGAGCACCACTGTGGCACCACAAGCCATCCCAACCAGGATGAGGCAGAGATGATAGCCAAGGTGAAATAATGGTTAGTGTGTCAGTTTCAAATCCCCAGCTGGGAAGGAAGTTCACAAGGGCCAAGCTGCCCTCTCTTAGAGCAACCTACCTCTAAGGGTTGTTGCGAAGACAAAATAAGGGGTCTTGCATGCTACCCTATGCTCCTTGAAGAAATGGTGGGGCAATAATGTAAACTGCTATACATTTTGGAAAGTACTGTAGTTTCTCTGTTCGTTATGCATTTGGACTCCTCTTAAGAAACTGAACCTTTCAAAAGTGTACTGATTTTAATCACTGATTCCAAAACTGATTTTTGGTTTCTTAGAATTCCCAAGCAACTGTGAGTACAAGGCTGTTGGTTAATAATAATGACAGTTAACCAGAAGACATTTTCAATACATGAATTGGGAGCCCATGGTAGGTTTCCAGTGCTTCATGGCACTTCCCCCCACACTGAATAAATTCAAGGTGACTGTGGAGCCTTCTGACAGGTTGTAGTGCTTCATTTGTGTGCAAATTCTTCCAGTTTCCCAAGGACCAGAAAGTTCTGGGGCAGCTGTTCAAGTTCCTCCTTATGAGGAGAGAGAACTAGAGACTACTGGGATATTTTTCATTTTAAAATATCTATTTAAATCATGGTAGCTAATCTGACTCTGGCCCTCCAGATGTTGCTGTACTACAGCTGCCATTATCATTGGCCTTTGAGACCTGGAGCCCAGCTCCAGATGTTATTAATCTGGAGAGCCATCGGTTAGTCATGAGGCAGCTGCTTTGGGTGGCAGAATCCCTAGGGATTCATCATGGGTGCCCCATCTGCCCCTGCCGCCACAGCTGGAGAAGCAAGGAAAAGCAGTGGCAGCAGCCTCTGGCGAGATCTTGTGGTCGCAGTGGGTGCCCTGCCCACTCCCTGCAGCTAGAGATGCAAGGAGAAGCAACTGCGGCTTCCAGGTACCTGAAAAATCTTGTGAACCCCTGCCTGAAACCTGGAAGCTCTGCATACCTGGGAAGTGAGACTGCAGAGGGGGTGGGTGGGGTGGGGGTGGCCTGAGCCAAGATGGGACAGGCCTTCCCCGGGTTAATCGCCCCTGATTTACATGGAGCGTGGGGGAGCAGGCAGGCTCCAAGACAGACAATGTTAAGTTTATAAAATGGCACCAATTCAACCTAAAGCAAACAGCACTTATCTGGACCCCCTTCAAAGAAACACCTATCCCGCCACAGGCTGCCTCTTCCATGCTTGAGCTGGTGTCTCTGGGTGGTCACACTGCAATGCTTATGGAAGAGACATATTCTAGCCACCAAAACCCACGGAGCAAGCCAGCTTACAGAACGTCAGCCGAACTGACCATCAAGACCTATAAGCAAACAGGTGTTCAACAAAAGATGCTAATCCTTCCACTGGATATTTTGACAACATACGCAATGTTTGTAATGAATCATAGAATCACAGAACTCTAGGGCTGGAAGCGACTCCAAGGGTCATCTAGTCCAACCCAGGAATTTCAACACATGGTTCCCCATCCAATCTGAAACCAAAGCAGACTCTACTTAGCTTTGCAAATGTGCTAGCAGTTTTGTTGCTGCACCACTATGAAGACAATATCCTCGTGACACATATTTTAACACTTTCAATAACAATGCTTGTATTCTCATGCCTATTTTGCATTCCGAATAAGGGTGCACCTGGGGCAGGTGAGGCTATCTTGCTCTTCTAGTTAACACTAGACAGCAATAGCCCAGGCTTGACTTGGGTAACTTAATGACTTGTCCCACCTAATTCCTGCTTTTGATTACACATTTCCCACTCACATTTCAGGAAGTTTAGGTAAAGTAAAGGTAAAGGTTAGAGTGGCCTGTATTGGTCTCAGGCAGTCTGTGAAACTGGTGTGCACGCTAAGACTTGCATTGCGCACCCTTGGAGTATTTCTTGTGATCATCACTAACTGGGCCAGGGGTCTATGGCGAATGCAAATATCTGTGCTGCCGTGTGGATTTATAATGTTTTTAAGCAAAAATGAAAAGAAGCTCTGATTGTGAAAGAGGAGGGAAGAGCAGTCAATAGGGCAGCAGTGGTGCAAAAGCTTATCCTTTGTTAATGAGTCACACAAGCTTGCATCACACATACCAAACACTGGGAAGCAGAACACAAATATCATGAAATGCAAAGTAGTCTGTACACTTCCTTGCATTACTTCCTGTAGCAGATTGCATAAGAAATCTGCTCATTTGGTTGTAACAGACTTTCATTTATACCAGGGGTGGGGAATCCGTGGCCCCCCAGGTCTCCTTAATCCCAGCCAATGTGGCCCAAGGTCAGAGATTATGGGAGTTCTGGACAGCCCTGGTCTAGACAGTGGGAGACAGATGTGAAAGAGCACATGGTTGTTGATTCAGCCAAGCAGAAGAAGAGAAATATAGCTTTTCAGATTGTGGTGAACCAATCATCTGGGATTCTTTATTCTCTTGTTCCAATGGGTGGGCAAGAACACAATCTGGCTGCACCAGGCTCATTCTATATAAGCGAATGGCTCCCCACCCCAGGACTCCTATTGCCCAGTCTCTGTCTCCGTCACCTCCTTACCTCTGTTGACAATCTTGCCAAAAATGTTTGGCCCTGGTGTGGTGGGGCAATTCCAGCGGCGGTTGCGGAACTGCCACTTGCACTCCTTGATGGCGCTCTGCAGGCCGCTGCTGATGCTGTGCAGGATGCCTGGGTTCTGGCGGATGAGCTTGCGCTGCTTGCGGCTCAGCAGCTGCAGAGAAGGGTCCAGCACCAGCTGCACATTCTTGGAGTCCGTCAGCAGGTTGGTGGATGAGGCCACATTTATTATTCCCCTGCAGTCACAGAATGGCAAGGGTTTAAGCAGAAAGTTCAAATTCTGACACACAAATTTTGGTGTGTGAAATGGCACATTCAGATTTCTTGCAGCATTGAACACGGATATTTACATCAGCTGAGGGACTTACAGTGGTACCTCGGGTTAAGTACTTAATTCGTTCTGGAGGTCTGTACTTAACCTGAAACTGTTCTTAACCTGAAGCACCACTTTAGCTAATGGGGCCTCCTGCTGCTGCCGCGCTGCTGGAGCATGATTTCTGTTCTCATCCTGAAGTAAAGTTCTTAACCTGAAGCACTATTTCTGGGTTGGTGGAGTCTGTAACCTGAAGCGTATGTAACCTGAAGCATATGTAACCCGATGTACCACTGTATTGACATCTTCTGACTGTTTTCATAGGCATCAAATGTAAAATCTCATTCACTGCCACCTGTCAAATACTAAATATCATTGCTTGTGAACTGTTGAATGCTGTGAAATGCTACAAACCACTGCATGCTTATTTAAAACCATTGGGGGGAACCACACTCCATAAAGGATGATTGAGGTATCTGACAATGATTAAAACCAATAATAATAATAACAAACAGCAACATGAAAAGGGACGCAGGTGGCGCTGTGGGTTAAACCACAGAGCCTAGGACTTGCCAATCAGAAAGTCGGCTGTTCGAATCCCCGTGACGGGGTGAGCTCCCGTTGCTCGGTCCCTGCTCCTGCCAACCTAGCAGTTCGAAAGCATGTCAAAGTGCAAGTAGATAAATAGGTACCACTCCAGCGGGAAGCCAAACGGCGTTTCCGTGCGCTGCTTTGGTTCACCAGAAGCGGCTTAGTCATGCTGGCCACATGACCCGGAAGCTGTATGCCGGCTCCCTCGGCCAATAAAGCGAGATGAGCGCCGCAACCCCAGAGTTGGCCACGACTGGACCTAATGGTCAGGGGTCCCTTTACCTTTACCTAACATGAAAGGAGCACCGGTAATATTCACTATCAAGCAGCATAAAAGTGGTGTTACAAAATATTTTTTTTAATTTGGAATTAAAACTTCCTACAGATTAACCTCACTGCCAAAAGTATCAGGACAATCAACCATAACATACCAGAGGGAGACCATAACCAGCTTCCTGTCCATCAGATGCCTTTCTTAAAAGAACCAACTTTGCAATTTGGCGGAAGGTCATCAGAGAGGAAGTAAGATGGAGTTGCCTGCACAGGGAGTTCCAGAGCCTGGGCACACCTACAAAGAAGCCTCTTACCGTAGTCCCAACTAAATATGCTTCAGGCGCTGGCAAGTCCCATAAGGCGGCCTCTGTTGATGACCTTAATGAGCAACCGCCTTGAGTCCCGTCAGGGCAGAGGTGGATTTAGGGGAGTGCAACCAGTTCAGTGGAACTGGGCGCAGAGCCTCAGGGGAACTGCAGGGGATGCCACAGCTATGAGCATGAGAGGCAGGGGTGCCAAATTCTGGCGTTGCACAGGGTGCCACTGAAATTTGAGACCCCAAGGTCTGCCACTTGGCAGGGGGAAAGATGGGGTATGTATGAATGAATGAATGAATGAATGAATGAATGAATGAATGAAATATTAAAAATGGAAACAGCTCCTGAAGTCTACAGATGATTTGTTTATTTTTTTAAGAAAGAATTGGATGTGGTAAAGAGCCATTGATACTGAGTCATGTAGTTGGGAACTTAGTCTAGTTCTCCATCAGCCTCAGACAACGTGTTCAATAATGTCAGGGATTCTGTAAGTCAGGGTCTTAAGACCACAGGGCCACAGGTTCCCCAGTCCTGGTCTAGTTATTAAACACGAGGGAGGCAGAGTTTCTAGCCAGGGACACCCTATACATCTAAAGAGCAACCAAAAGGAAATGCCATACATGTTTGCCATTAGGGGCACTTTGCATGCTGGAAATGTGATAAATATTGAGCGAGAATTTCCTTCCTTTCCTTTCTATTTCATCCAAGGAGAAAGAAGACTACAGAATTACCTAGCAAATCCCACACAAAAAACACATTAGCAACATATAACTCACTAGCCCAAGTGGCAGTCAAGGGTCTACATAACAGGATCAGTGCAGAGTTGTCCAAAGTTTCTGCACCTTTCTTGCAAGTACTCTACCTCCTCCTTCAGCCCCAAGCAGTGGATTAGTTCTGCAACTAGTAGTGATTCCATTTAGCTGCCATGGCTAATACACACTGATATAACAATCCTCCATTAACTTGCTCTCACACATTAAAATAAAATTTAAAGCCAAATAATCTAGTTGCTATAGGGACGCAGGTGGTGCTGTGGTCTAAACCACAGAGCCTAGGGCTTGCTGATCAGAAGGTCGGTGGTTCGAATCCCCGCGACGGGGTGAGCTCCCATTGCTCGGTCCCTGCTCCTGCCCACCTAGCAGTTCGAAAGCACGACAAAGTGCAAGTACATAAATAGGTACCACTCCAGCGGGAAGGTAAACAGCATTTCCGTGTGCTGCTCTGGTTCACCAGAAGCAGCTTAGTCATGCTGGCCACATGACCCGGAAGCTGTACACCGGCCCCCTCGGCCTATAGAGTGAGATGAGCGCTGCAACCCCAGAGTCATCCGCAACTGAACCTAACGATCAGGGCATAGCTGTCAACTTTTCCCTTTTCCTGCAAGGAATCCTATTCGGAATAAGGGAATTTCCCTTAAAAAAGGAAAAAGTTGACAGCTATGGGTCAGGGGTCCCTTTACCTTTAATCTAGTTGCTATCGCTACATCTTGTGGTGATGAGTTCCTCCACTTAGTGATACACTGAGTGAAGCAATTCCTTTTCATAGAGTCGGAAGGGACCCTAAGGATCATCTAGTCGAACCCGCAGCAATGCAGGAACATGCAGCTTGTTGGCTGTGAACCTCCCACTACCAATCAACTTTCCTGGTTAACGCCAAGAATCAATCAATTTCTTTCTCTCTCTCTCTCTCTCTCTCCTCACTCCATACCATTCATGATTTCATAATTCTCTATCATGTAACACTAATATGTGAAGCTGAATAGAATATATGTTTGTTTGTTTGTTTGTCGTAAATCAGAAATAATAATAGCAATATAATTACAGATCTATGCTGCATATTCTAAGGGTCAAGCTGTACCTCATGCCCCATCCAGTGGAGGAGACTGCAAACAGCACCTGTGTGGTGACTTCTCCCCACAGTGGCCGCAATTTGTAGTGCTACTGGCCACCTGGATCTTGTGCCTCATGTGCAGAGCACAACATACCACACATTCCTGGCAGCAGCTTGGACTGGCGCTGCTACTGACCACAGGATGAAGAGCATCTACATGGTAAGAAGCACCACACACACTGTACACATGCCATGTGCAGCAGCCTCCCTCTCAGTGTGTTGAGTCTGAAAAGAAGGGAGGCTGTAATAGGTCAAAGCACCTGCTCTGTGGATTAAGCCTCCACAAGAGGCAATGTTCCGTGAGACCTTATGCAGCTTTCTTCAAGGACCGTCCAATTACAGAAAGCATTTGGCTGAATGGCTGATCTGGTGCGAATTGTTGGTGTGTATTGCTGCTACTGATTATAATTGTTCTTGTTTAAGCTATTTTATATTATTTTAAAATGCTGAGGGGTTGCTTTTGTACTTGAAATGCAGGATAAAAACAAAACAAAATTAATGGAGCTAGCTGCGGACATTCCTAAGTATTGTGTAAAAGTAAACAGCAAGCAGTCCTATGTGCCTCCTGCTTTCAGTCTATAGATTATTCCTGATATCCATAAACATTAAATCAGATTTGTTGCTCTGTTGATTCTGCTTTGCGGTTTATTACTAACGAGTGTCTCACATAGATAGATAGATGATAGATATAGATAGGACGGATTCAGTGAATGACTCACAGATGTATTAAAACTGTTAGGATACTTCCTGATGAGTCCTAAAAATTTGATACACCTGGTGAAAGAGACCTTGATTGCCAGAAAAATTCCCAAAGTAGAACATTTATACAACTCTATCACAAAACGGTTGTCTCAAATAGACCCATACAATAATGAAGATTCTTCCAGGAAACCTAAATTTGGCATTCACACAGCCCCAAGACATTGGAATTACTAGAAAAGCATCTGAGGAACATATATTTTAAAAATATTTTCCAAGATATGTGAGGTGGGGTGGGGGTGGGGGAGAAGGGAGGCTTTTTTCTGCACCTTCTGGTCAAAGCTTGGAGCACAGAGTTTCCTTTTCAGAAAAGACCAGAATTCTAACTTAGATCAAGCCAAGCCACATGCTCTATAAGACAGCCTATTGGTCTGTAGGACTTCCATGGCATCCTCAGATTTGGATGTGGGGCTTGCAGAGGACTTATTAACAAGGGACATATAGCTATGCTTGAAGAATGCAGGCTTCATTTACTAGTAGTATTAAAGACATTTGGGCCTCACTGACTCACACACTGCGAGTTGGAGCAGCAGATTCTTAAGGTACTTTCTGATGAGTTAGAACTCTGAAATTGGGTACACATGTCATCCAAGACACTCCAGTTCCAGAAATAATTTGAAACGTGGGACATTGTACTTGTCTCCTTCAAAACAGGGAGCTGATGGTGCATCCCCAAATAATTATGGTGCTTCAAGTCGACCGAGAAAATGAATCTGTCAACACGCACAACCCATCATACGCTGATTACTGTGAAAGTTGTAAGAAAATTTATAAGTCTTTCCCTAATGATGGGAGGCATGAAATCTGTGCACACAGTTTTAGGTACCAGTAAACAACCCAGAAATTTGAAAGTTGGTACTTGCGCAGCCCAAGACACACAGATTACTAGGGAAATCTGAAAACTGGGCATTTCCCAACTGCATGGTCAACTTCTGATGCTTACCTCCTAGTAGGGGTCAGTATTTCAGCACACAGCAAGCCATGTGGGTGGAGTATTGGGAGCTGGGCATTCTGTTAACTGTTCAGGTTTGCATTTAGAGGAGGAGACAAGCAGAGACCTAGAGCTATCCCAGCAGAATACACACTTTATTTTCCTATCCATAGCTATAGATACGCACCAAGCAGCTGCCCTTGTAACCTAATCTAATTCTGTGTACATGTTACAAACTTAAAATCAGGATAGATATGGATTGTGACTAAAGCTGTGTGTCTACTGCTTCACAAACCAGTGGTGGGAGTGCACTGGATGCCAAGTAAATGGGCATGTGCGCACAGCCTCAGATTCCATGCACCTGATACCTGCAACATGCCAAAGATCCTAGTGCGCTCCATGGTCTGAGACCATGCAATGCTTTTTAATGCCTCTGAAAATGCTGGTGCTCCAAGCAACTAGCTTGGCAAGCTGTACAACAGAGTGAGCCAGTGATAATTAATACACTGAACAAATTATACAGATTAGAGCTAGACTGCGGGATTCACACATAAGTCTTAACACAACAAAGTTTTTAAGATGAGTGTAAAGCCTACACAGGCCAGAATGCCCATTCACATTGCAAATGCCTCTACTCACATGTAAAATGGTCAGAAACACATGTGGACCATGCTAAAGAAGTGCAGGATTGTTATTTAATTCTGATTTAATTGGGAATTCTTGCAGATTTGAGATTTAATTCTCAAGGACACACTTAAGCAGCCTCCTTGAGAATGGTAGAGGTAATGGGAATGATCTTTCACCCAGGGCTATGATTAAGGATTAATGGGTTGCAGTACCTGCCCCTAAATATTGTTATGGGGAGACTAAGCATCTACAAGTAAAAATGAAAGTAGTAGTATAGGAAGAAATATTAATATAACTCATAGTAATTATGCAACAATAAATGAATAACTAAATGAATAAACAATAAATGAAATATAGCTGTGCCACAGCAGCAGTGCAAACTGTACAGTATATTATTATTATGATGTACTGTATTATATATGTATTTGATACCCCACCTTTTGCCCCTCACAGGGACTCAAGGCAGCTTACAAATGATAAGACACACTTTCCTGCCCTTAATTAACCATCACTGTAGCTGTAACAGCAGCAGCAATAGCATCATCATCATCACCACCACCGTCGTCACTTTTCTAAAAGAAACTACTACAGCACACCTGTACACTATCACACTTCCAAATTAGACCCACCCGCTGACCTCAGTTGCCAAAGGCGCCTTGGAGTGTCAGTGAAGCCTATGTCTTTTTCTGCCCTATATGTCTTGTACCACGAGGATGCCTCTCTCAGGCGTATGCAGATACCCTGGTCTTTAGCTAGATCAGGATTCCACAGCAAAGGGCCAGGCGATACAACGTGCCTGTGGTCGGGAATCTTACAGGGCAAACCAGGTCCGGGAGGCTCGCCGAGCGTGCGCCCCCTTTGAGCGCGCCTTGGGTTCTTGCTCTGCCCATTCACCTGGGCACTTGGCGCAGCTTCTCGAAGCTCTGCCAGCAACTCTAGGAGTGGGGAGTCGCAGGTCACCTCCGTGGGAGCCGGGCCGAGGCGGATTTGATTCCCCTCCCCAGGCTCTTCGAATTTGGAAAGGCTCCCCAAAGGCGCACAGCGCGTAAAGCGCACTTACCACCATCGGCCGCTGTTATTCACCGCCAGCGTGTTGGAAAGAGAGGAAAAAGCCAAAACCCACAAGGTCTTCAAGCCTAGCATTAATGCCACGGGGCTCATCGCTTCGCCTGCCCTGCTTGCCTGCTCGGCTGAACCGCCAAAAAAAAAAAAAAAAAAAAAGGCAGCGGAGAAGAGATGGGTGGGTGGAGAGGTGGGGTAGAGAATCCGTCTCCAAAGACCTTGCTGGAGAGGCGTGCACTGTGCGCCCGGGGAAAGGTCCTCACTTGTGGAGAGTAGTTTGAGCCCAAATCGAAGGTTTTTTTTGTTTTTTAAAATAGTAGTAGTAGTAGTAATAATAACAATAATAACAATAAATAATAATAATAATAATAATAATAATAATAATAGAAAGAGAGGAGCAGCCGGCGAAAAGTCCCGCGAGGAGATGCTCTCCGCTACCGGCAGTCCCGGGTGGCGACGCTTCTCTCTGGAGAGCAACTAAGGCGCAAGAGGGGGAGACGTCGCGCGTCCTGCTCGCTGGGGGCCCCTCGAAGCACGTCTGACATCCCCTCGCCAGGGCCGGCTTCTTATAGAGGCTGTGATGAGGGTCGCCCTGGAGTGAGCCATCGAGCCAGAAGGACCCGGCGCGGTGCGCTACCGCGAACAATGCGCCTTTGCGCAAAGGAGACGCATCACAGCCCGACGGGGAGGGAAGGGAGGGGGGGAAGCCAAGCGCCTTTGGACGGGCCGCTCCCCTTCCCGTCACATTAAATTCCAGGAGACCCGAGATACAGAAAACCCTCTTTCTGAAGGAGGGGAGGCTGCTTCTTGCTTGTCACTCAACTCCCCCAGCCCTTCACCCCACCCCAGCCCAGGACGGGGCCGCGGCCAGTCATTCCCTCCGAGGGACCTCTAGCCAGGCGCTGGTCTCCGACGTTCATGATCCAAGTGAAGAAGGAGCAGGAGCCAGAGGGGACGCGAAGGCACCTAAAGAAGACCCGCTCGGTCACAGGAATGGGGAGGCTTGCAATGAGGACGCGGCCGAAGATCGCCTGGTCCTGCTCAGTAGCAGGAGCAGGAGCCCCATCCCGCAAGATCGCCTCTCTCCGCGGGACTCCAGTCGCCACATTTGGCCGCCGAGGCTTTGCGGTGGCCTCGTTCCTCCTCTCCGGAGTCTTTTGGCTGCCGCTGGCCAGACGTCATCCCCCCGCTTGGGCTTGGCCTGGAGAGTCCTCAGCGCCTCCTTTCATCCCGCGGTGGCGGAGAGAGAGAGAGAGAGACAGCAGCAGATGGAGCGAATTAAGCTGCTGCCACTCGCGCGCTCGGCTCCGCTGGTTCCAGCTTGGGACGCAGCCGCTGGGAAGCTGCAGAGAAGGGGAAGCATTGGGAGGGCAAGGCTGGCGCATGGGGGGCAGAAGTCCCCACGCAACTGAATGTGGTCCTCAGTAGCTACACATACAAGACGCTCCCGGTCTTGTGCAGGAGTGATACTTTCAATCATCCCAAATGGCTGGTTATGGCGCGGGCGGGCGCGCACAATTTTCGTATAGGATAGTGCAGCAAACTTTTCTACATTGACCAAAACTCTGGCCTGCCTGCCTGGGATTATACGTTAACAATCGGGGTCCAAAATCACATTAGTTTATTCCTGCCTGAAAAGTTATTTGTCCCTGGAAAGGTTGCAGCCATTGGCAAGCCCCACCAGGAGCATTCCTCCCTTAAGATCTGTCTTTATACAATCAATCTTGTCTTTATGCAATATATTCATAAAAAGAAGTTTTACATTACGCAGCCGTCTTGGTCACCCTCTGCACCCATCCAGGCATTGTGCATATAGTACACTGTTGCTCATCTTTCCGTGTGTGTGAACTGTTCACACGTGCAGGCCATCACTTGATTGCTGCTGTGATGTATGAACGACGCATCACAGATCAAAGACCATAAATAAAGCACATATTGTTGCTTTACATTTCCCAGACATGATGTTTCAAAGGAGTCCATGAATGCAGTCAGCTATCCCTCATCAGGCCTCCATAATTCAACTGTGGAAAAAGGAAATGATGTCCTGTATGCGTGAAGCAGGTATTGATGAGTGGCAGTTGAATGCTATAGACTCCAGTGTTCTAGATTGTATTTGAAAACCTGTAGTGTTACCTTGTTGATAGTCCTTTCACACATACAAATCACCCATCGATTTTACAATCATCAAATGATTGCATGTGTGAACAAGACTCGTATCATGCCAGTACACAGCTCACTCTCTGTTCCTGCCTCTCTGTTCCACCCTTTCCCCCTCCCCACATGCACACCTTTTCTAAGCTTTAATCTATAGATCTAGTCAGCCAGTCTTATAAATGTACTACTGCAGAATTCTCCAGATCAAACAGATTAAAAACAAACAAGTAAACAACAAACCATTATTCAAATAAGAAAAAAAATTACAATAATTTGGCTGTTCAAAAAAAAACAGCACATAGAAATCCTAAGCCTAATCACCTGTGGGTTAAACTACAGAGCCTAGGGCAGAAGGTCGGCGGTTCGAATCCCCGCAAAAGGGTGCGCTCCTGTTGCTCAGTTCCAGCTCCTGCCAACCTAGCAGTTCGAAAGCACGAAGTGCAAGTACATACTGTAAATAGGTACCACTCCAGCGGGAAGGTAAATGGCGTTTCCGTGTGCTGCTCTGGTTCACCAGAAGTGGCTTAGTCATGCTGGCCACATGACCCGGAAGCTGTACGCCGGCTCCCTCGGCCAATAAAGCGAGATGAGCGCCGCAACCCCAGAGTCGGCCTAATGGTCAGGACCTAATGGTCAGGGGTCCCTTTACCTTTACCTTTAAGCCTAATCACAGGAAAAACTCAAATATCAACTTACCTATATAAGCATTTAACATAGTCCCAATAACATTTAAATGCAGCTGATGTGTCCTCCCACCAGTCCATGTGTGCCAGTTTAGCGTGTGCTAAGCTTAGCTGCGTGCATATAGATTAGCAGTCATGATAAATGCATTGAAATGTGACAAGGACTGCTTACACGAGCCTTTTTCCTATGCTCTGGATCATATTTGAATCCAGCCTTGGACCATCATGCATCCTAAGTATTGTGAGCATTTACAATTTGGACCAGAAATAGGCCAGGTGTTGTACAGTTCAGCTGTTTAAAACCTTTGAAGTCAATTAAAGTTAAACAGTGTAACTTATCACCTACAAAAAAAATAAAATAAAATCCTTCCAGTAGCACCTTACAGAACAACTAAGTTTGTTATTGGTATGAGCTTTCGTGTGCATGCACACTTCTATGATGAGACAGAGTGAGGCAGCTGCCTCAGGTGGCAGACGCTGAGGTCCAGGGAGTCGACAGAGCTGTGTCATGTGGCCTGCCCTCTACCCACTGTGCTCGCCTGCTGCCCTCAAATGCAGTGGAAGAACCTGTCCTTTCACCATTATTGGAGTAAGATCTACCTGCCAATTCAACTGGCTTCTATATGGGCCTGTCATTCAGAGAATGGACCGAAAGCCCATGGGACAGTTCCACTGTGAAATGCTTGGACGAGAGATCAGCTGTGAATTACAGTGGTCCCTCTGGTTACAAACTTAATTCATTCTGGAGGTCCGTTCTTAACCTGAAACCGTTCTTAACCTGAGGTACCACTTTAGCTAATGGGGCCTCCCACGGCTGCCGTGCCACCGGTGTGCAATTTCTGTTCTCATCCTGAGGTAAAGTTCTTAAGCTGAGGCACTACTTCCGGGTTAGCGGAGTCTGTAACCTAAAGTGTTTGTAACCCAAGGTGTTTGTAACCCAAGGTATATGTAGGGTTGCCATATTTTGAAGAGCAAAAAAGAGGACACATTTGCCGACTTCTAACTATGGATCTGTATGACTATTCTCATCATGAAAAAGAGGACATGTCCTGGAAAAAGAGGACATATGGCAATGCTGCTCTAAGCTCCTCATAGGCCGTCAAAGTAATACTAAGCAGGAAACTTTATGAAGATCAAGAACAGGGGTCCGCAAACTTTTTCAGCAAGGGGCCGGTCCACTGTCCCTTAGACCTTGCACTATAGTAGTTCTCCTATAGTACTATACTATAGTAGGGCTGTACTATATTTTTTGGGGGGAAATGAATGAATTCCTATGCCCCACAAATAACCAAGAGATGCATTTTAAATAAAAGCACACATTCTAATTGTGTAAAAACACCAGGCAGGCCCCACAAATAATCCAGAGATGCATTTTAAATAAAAGCACGCATTCTACTCATGTAAAAACACACTGATTCCTGGACTGTCCGCGGGCTGGATTTAGAAGGCAATTGGGCTGGATCTGGCCCCTGGGCCTAAGTTTGCCTACCCATGATCAAGAATAATGGCACTGAGGTGTCCTCCATTTGGGCCATTTTCTAAGGCAGCATGGCCAACTACGTCTGGGTTACCCATTCCTGCTTGAAATGCCAGCTGGTTCAAGCATGACTCCATTGTGTCTCTCTTGCTAGCACCATCTATGTGTGAATCTCCCTTTCTGTAAATCGAGGGTGGCAAATAAGACCCTTCAATCCCCTCTATATGATCCTTGGGGCTCTCTGCAAGTGGCATCCTGGTTGAGTGCTTTTACTTGGCAGGAATGTGTCTGTAGCCAAACTTAAGGATGTATAATTCTACTCCCACCTGTCCTTCCTTACCCTTGTCTCTCCTTTTCCCTCCTGTTGTTTATTAAGCTTCTTGGGAGCAAACACCAATATTTTTCTTATGTAAATGCAATACACAATTGATGCTAATGGTACTGTATAAACAAAAGTAAATGAAATTATTACTGCTACCACCATGCAAATTAAAAGATCACTTGGAATGCACTATTTTTTAAATTTTCTATTACATCTCTAAGACTAAAATGAATCTCTTGATTGTGAATCCTTAGTCCTGAGGTTGTAATAAGTCACCAGACTTTTCCTTCTTTCTTTTTTGGAGAGGAGGGATGGAAAGGGCTAAAGTTCTGGGTGGGGGAGCCCTGGGCCTTTCTGTCCCTGGGGAACTCTCCTAAGCCACACCTACTCCTCAAGCACACCCCTCACCCGACCTACTTCATGTTCCCCTGAGTGCTTTTTGCCAGGCTGGAATGTGCCCTTGGACCTTGGTAATGCATCTTGGCATGTAAGAAGTTATTCACCTCCGAACTGAAGTTCCCCAGACACTGAAATTGGTTTCGTAGTTCAGTGCCAGGCCTGGCCAGCAGGGGCTGTTGCAGGATCGACTATTATGACATACGTCTATGATATAGAGGTGTTTGCATATGTGTACACACACAAACACACCCCTCTGGCCTGAGAAATGCGCAAAGTGTTCCTTATGCATAAATGCATGCCATGTTGGTCTGTTTGCCCCTTGAAACAAAGTGCTGCCCATCCGCAAATCTCTACCTGGCATCCAAAGCAGAAGCCAGTTGGGGGCTCCCCTTTTGTCTCTTCACAAGTGGGCAGACAGCCCTGTGGGGCAGGCGCCATGTTTTTCACACAGTCCAGCATCCTTTCCCCTTCTATTGATTCCCTCAAATGTGTTTATAGCCTGCCTCCTCTGCCAAGGGCGCAGCAGGACAGATCACTGCTAACAAACAAACAAAGCAAGGTGCCAGGAGCGCTGCTTTCGATTGCTGAACTGCCCCTTGCAGGGAGGTGACCTGAGGAGAAAATGCAGGTGGGGCAGGAAGGCCGATGGGGCAAATGGTTCAGAAGGGTAGCCATAATGTGCTTAAGCCCAAACTGTGAGCCAGAAAGGGGCATTTACATGATGGCCTTCAGCTTGGCTTTGCCAGACCTGCAGGTCACCCTGGCTGTCAGTGCTTTGCCTTTGCACCCCCACCTGCAGTTCAATTTCAAACTGAGTGGCAAAAACAGGTCACCTGACGTCTGTCTACCTGTCAAACTGTGAAGGACAGGGGAAGAGAATGATCTGTATGGTTACTTACCCGCAAGTTTAAAAAGAGACAGATGACAAGGAA